ACTCCTACTGTTGGCGTTTACTCTCCCCAGCTCCCAGTGGTCTCCTGTCCAATCACTCTAGTTACAGTCACACCAAACAGTGCCACTGTCCAATGGGGAGAAGTGCCTTGTCTCCAGAGAAATGGAGAGACCACAGACTACACAGTTACTGCAACAAACCCAGATGGAATGGAAGCAGGAACTGCTAGTGTTGACATAGACGATGCTAGACAAGCCACAATCTCTGGACTGGCTCCATCCACACAGTATACTGTGTCAGTAGCTGCAGTCAATAGTGCTGGCACTGGACCTCTCACTACCCTCTCTGTAGAAACTCCAGGTTAGTATTGTTCTGTCGTCCCTTACGATGCTCTGTGGTCATTCTCCTATCAATCAGATGGACTCACTGTATTGGCCACTCCCTCATCCTCTACCTCCCTTGCCATCTCATGGACACTGGAGGACAGTTTGACTGCTACCTCCTACACCATCTCCTACTCCAACACCAACAACACTGACTGTTTCACTAACTCCAGAAGTGATATCCCTGCTAGTGGGACATCACACACTCGACTGGTCTAGAGGAGGGGACTGGTATTCTATCACTGTCACTGTCCACTCTGGCTGGAGGAGGGACGCAAGAAGGCAGCACCACAGCCACCACATTGACTGCTGGTTAGTATCCTAGTATTTCCCTCTGTCTGTTCCAATAATTCTGATAACTCTGTACCCACAGCTCCATCTGCCCCTCCGTCTGAAGTGGATGTAACTGATATTACCTCTTCCACCATCACTGTCGAGTGGGGGGAGGTGCCTTGTGCTGATCAGAATGGAGCCATCACAGGCTACTCAGTCCAGTATGGAGTAATGGGGAGTGGGAACACAGAGACTATTACTGTTGATGGAGCTACTGTGATGGAAGCTACTATACCAAGTCTAAATCCATCTACTGCATATACTGTGCAAGTGGCAGCAGTGAATAGTGTTGATACTGGAGTCTTTAGCGACAGACAATCTGCTATGACACTGGGTATTACAGAGGGATCAATGCTAAATGGTTGTACAGTAATGTTTCTTATTTCTCTCCCCAGTTGCTGTCCCAGTTCTGATGTCAGACTCCACAACAGCCACCTCCATATCCCTCTCCTGGACCAGTGCTGGCTCAGAGGGAGTCAGTTATGAGGTTAATTGGCAGAGAAACACCTCAGTAGGTTGTACTGATGAGGACACAGGCAGTACCACTATCACTGGAGGTTCCATGACTAGCTACACCATAACTGGACTAGAGGAAGACAGTAGGTACATCGTAAATATGACAGCTTACAATTCTCTTGGAAATGAAAAAAGTGAGCCAGTTACTGCAATGACAATGATTGCTGGTGAGTGTGGCTGACTCTGACAACATGTTTAAGGCAATGTGTGTTCTTTCATCAGCTCCATCTGCCCCTCCGTCTCCTGTGAATGCAATGGTGGAGAGCTCAACTAGTATCACTGTCCAGTGGGGAGAGGTGCCATGTATCGATCAGAATGGAGCCATCACAGGCTACTCAGTCCAGTATGGAGTGGAGGGGAGTGGGAACACAGAGACTATGACTGTCTCAGGAGCTAGTACCACTCAGACCACAATCACTGGTCTCAATCCATCCACTACCTACTCCATCCAAGTAGCGGCAGTCAACAGTGCTGGTACTGGAGTCTACAGTGATCCAGAAATGGCTGAAACTCTTCCAAGTGAGGCTGATAATGTGAATTAGAAGAACATAGTCATGATGTACTGTTAACCCTCGGTGCGAATGCCCAGCGAGGGTCACAGTAATTATTGCAGCTAAAGTGCTAGTGTGTAGTTGTGCACCGAGGGTTTTTACTCCTGTACTTCCTTTTTCCAGGTGTATACCTCAGTCTGAACGGTGAAATCTTCCGTAATCATAGCTATGTGGATATCAGTGATATTGGCTCCACTGATAACACTGCTCTACAGTGTATCACTAACCGTCTTCCACCTGCTGGTAGTCCTAATTCTGGAGGAGACTGGTTTGCTCCAGACAAGACCAGAGTAGATGGTACTGCTGTCCCAGGATTTACCAGAACCAGAGGTCCAATGGTAGTGAGACTGAAGAGGAACACTGCTACTGATCCTGCAGCTGAAGGAATATATCACTGTGAGGTAATGGACAACACAGAAACTGAGCAGAGAGTTTATGTGGGAATATACAATGGAGGAGGTATGTATTTGGTTCACAGAATGTTCCTGGTGAAATTGATTCTACATTGCAGGAGACATCTCAATACGTGGGGAACTGACAGTGAAGTCTGACCTCAATGGAGCCAGTCCTCAGTTCATCCTCACCTGTATCTCCACTGGTGGACCTGCTACCACTGTCACTTGGACCAGAGACTCCACCACTGTCACCCAAGGAACCCAGACTGTGTTGGATGACCCAGTGACTGCACAGTACACCCACACTCTGACTGTGACTACTGCAGGAGAGTACACGTGTACTGTGGCTAACAACAAGCCATCTTCTGCTTCATCAGCTAGCTTCACATTGGAGGGTATCTACTGTAATGTGATGTGTCATTCAGTAAAATGATATCGGCTCACTTTCAGGTCCCCAGCCTCCCACTGATGTGACAGCAGTCCAGGATGGTCCCACTAGTATCACAGTGACCTGGACTCCTCCTGATCTTCTGGATGGTATCACTGGCTACAGGATCTTCTTCACTGGAGGCAGTGATGTGGATATTGATGGTGGCTCTACCAACAGCTACACTCTGACTGGTCTCACAATGGACAGACCTACACCATATCCATTGTAACAATATCTCCAAACAGACCAACTAGTGCTCCTGTTGAAGTTCGAGGAATCACATTAGGTTAGACCCAAATACTGCTGAATATGTTCTGTTGTCACTGACTCATTCTCCATTCATCAGTGGGTGTTCCAGAGAAACCAACTGTAGATATGGACAGCATTGAGACCACACCCACTACAATTACTCTCTCCTGGAGCCTTCCTCGTAATGTAACTGGCTCTGAGGTGAGCTGGGAGCTAACAGAGCAGACGACAAGAAGAAGAGGAGTCCGCAATGCTGAGGGAGGGACTAGTGGACGACTCCCTGCAGACCAGGACAGCTACACTATCGACAAGCTGAGCAGTGGAACTAGTTATGACATCACTGTCACAGTTTTCAACCCTATTGGGAGCTCTTCCACCACCTTCACTCGCTCTACTGAGGGAGGAGGTGAGTTTCAGACATGTGTCACTCAGAAACACAGCTCTACAGTCACTACAATGAATGATAATAAAACAGATAATTTATATAAGTATGGGAGTATAGCCACTGTCAGCATAAAACGTAAGTAGAGAAACTATGGGAGTGCTGTCATGCCTCTGGTGGTAACGATATTCAATCAATTCCAGTGATTGATGCTAACCAGGCGGAGAGTACTAGCAACACTTCTGCCATTATTGGTGGAGTAGTGGCTGTGGCTGTTGCCTTTATGATCATAACTTCACTGACAGTCATAGTGGTAGTGATTCTAGTGCTGAGAAGTCGCAGTGGAAATTGCTCTGCAAAAACAAGGCACGACCATACACTCTTACATTAGTATGACATAATAATTATGTCATTGTATTTGATACAGAGCTACAGTTGGAGCTACAAATCAATCAGTGGAGCTCTCCAAGCTCTCAGAGCCAACATATGCGTAAGTCTCCCCATATGAAACACTGTGAGATGATTTCTATACCACTGATGGCCTCAATCCAGAGACCCAGACCAGCTCCATACCACCCGTAATGAGGCCTACAATGTAGTGAGAGGGACTGGAAGGACAGTTGAAGATGATTATGAAGTACCACAAAACCTTCCTCCCTCCACCACCTCTCAACAACCTACCACTACTGCTACTGGAGACTATGAACTAGTGTGACTGTGGACATGGCTTGTACTGCCCTCCCCTGAACATTGTTTTTGCAATATGAATGTCAGTAGCTACTATGTCAGTTTGTACACCTATACATAAAGCATTCTGTTTGTAGTTTACCAATTTACGTTTACCTTCGTGGGCATCGTTTCATCTCCTAATATGTGCATGCCAACACACCAGCAGAGCGCGTAATTATAGATTAGATAGCGTTTAGAGATCTACACAATGTACTAAGATGTACTATATTATATCTATATACTTATGTTGAGTCTCCTCTGGTCTCTGGTGGAGGTCCACTCTCAGATCTTTCCCCTTCTCTCTCCCCTCTCCCCAGACCCACTAGGTCCAGCAAGATGTGCCGCACCTCTGCAACCAGTATGGCTATATACATGACGGACTTTCTCTCTACACTATGTGTACTACTGTTGGACTTCACACACATCCTGTTATTATAAAGCTGCCAACGCATAAGTATTACGTTGATAAAATTATGCCAGGAATTTTCTGTTTTCCATATATGTCCACATTGGGAGGGTTACATCTCTGCTGCCCATCAGCCTGTGCTAACTCAATTGCTCAGTCGGTGGTGTGAGTGATGTGCAACAGATCAATGATGATAATTGTGTCTCTGTTGAGTCTCCTCTGGTCTCTGGTGGAGGTCCACTCTCAGAGCTTTCCTTATGTCTCCTTCGTGAGCCAAACTCTGGCCAACAATTCCTATGTGGACCTCAGTCAAGTGGGGAGACCTGAATTTGGTGGTGAAGGTGTTCAGTGTATCACCGACCTGACCACATGTTGTTTTAATACTGATGGTCCTCATCGTGGAGACTGGTATTTCCCCGATGGAACTCAACTGCCTTTGCCTGCACCCAATGTTGATACCTTTGAGACTCGTGTATCTCGCGGAGTTGACTTACGTCGTAATAGTGACGTTAACTCACCAACTTTTGGTATCTATCGCTGTGATATTCCAACTGTTGCTGTCTATGGTCATGATGACACCTCAGTGAGAGACACAGTCTATCTGGGAATGTATACTGCCATTGGAGGTATGACGTAGCAGTTTTTGTATAGATGATGAAATATCTTTTATTGTTGTTAGGAGATGTCTTGATAACTGATGGTTTGAGATTTACCAACCTCAATGAAGCCAGTCCTCAGTTCACCCTCACCTGTATCTCCACTGGTGGACCTGCTACCACTGTCACTTGGACCAGAGACTCCACCACTGTCACCCAAGGAACCCAGACTGTGTTGAATGACCCAGTGACTGCACAATACACCCACACTCTGACTGTGGCTGGGAGACTGGGAGGACTGTACAGATGTACTGTGAGCAACAATAAACCATCTATGGTCTCTGGAACGTTGACAGTGAGAGGTTGGTTGTCTCCACATGCCTTAACTGCGTCCTCAATGCAATGTTCTCTAGTTGCCTCAGCTCCTACTAACCTGGTGTTTGAGGTTCAAAGCGATAGTACTAGTGTCCTACTTACCTGGACCCCACCTGAACCACTGGCTACACCATCTCCTACACTGGAGGAGGCAGCAGTGGTAGTGAGACTGTCAGTGGTGGAGATACCAACAGCTACACTCTGACTTGTCTTATAAGAGAGGATATGTATGATATATCGATTGTGGGCACATCAGATCAACTCTCCAGTGAGAGTGTGGAGTGGGAGACTGTCACTCTAGTTCCTGGTGAGCATTATATATAACTATATAGTTCGTTTTATTGGCCAATGATATGAGTTAATAGGTCTGACTGGAGCAGAAAGAAAAGAAGATGGTTAGAAACATTAACCTATCCTTCAAGTAAAGTATTGTTTTTTTAAGGGCCATATTTGACGGTGGAAGTGGTAATGATGGGAGTCAGCTCCATCTCCCTGTCGTGGCGTGTGTCTGGAGACACAGTGGTGGATTCAGAGGTGGTGTGGCGAGCTATCAGTGGCCCTGGAGGCAGAGATTCCAGTGGTTCCATCACATCCACCAGCTACACCATACATGATCTCCAGACACTCTCCGTATACAATGTCACAGTTACTGTCTGCACGATGTCCTTGGGAAATTTCAGTGAATCTGTCATTGCCTTCACAGGTTATAGCTTTTCTTAGTTTGATATTAAAAGTATTCTTGTCAATACACAGTTCCTGCATGTGAAAGCAGTGGATCATCACCATCAGTAGCAGTAGCTGCTCTTTTGGTGGTGTGTTGGGAGTGGTGATTGTGACTGCTATAGCAGTGCAGGTTAAGGTGATAGTCTTCTTCATGAAGAAACTCCAAAGAGCTGAAGAATACACTGCCACTCTTGCTGCACGACTAAAGAGGTAATTGTGTAGTTTGCACAATTTCTGTTGTCTCAACTTCTCATTGTTGTTTTTGACATTATGTTCATCTGCAGAGGACCTCCTGGGTCACTCAAGACCACCAGCAATGTGGCCTACAATGTAGTGAGAGGAGAAACTGATGATGCATATGAGACTGTGATGTCTTAACCTTTCACTTCTCACCCCCACTGCACAACCTACATATTCCATTTATAAAAGGTATCCTTTTTGTTTATATTTGCATTGTAGCTAAGTTTGTGTACACATGCTTTATTTGACCAAACAATGAGAATGGAAAGTTCTCTTTGAGGCAGACACACCTGACGATGAAGTGACTCTACCAGCTGTATTGCTAGTCCTCTGCTAACATAGCGGTGTACTTAGATTTCAAGGCAAAGAACCATTGCCCAGAGATGAAGCTAGCATAGTGAGTACTAAGTATACAAGTGGAAAAATCATTTCTTCAAAATGAAGGGGATATAGGGATGGCTGAAGCACCAAAAGGAGAAACAAGGGTCATTACACAGCAAGATGCACAAAGCTACATGACACCATCCCTATATCTTTGTCTCATATTAAC